AGAGTTGGTTTTTTCCAGCCAACCACTCTTCAGCCATACTCATACTTCGGCTGAAGAGTACTAAGAGTTGGTTTAATCCAGCCAACCACTCTTTAGCCATACTCATACTTCGGCTGAAGAGTACTAAGAGTTGGTTTAATCCAGCCAACCACTCTTTAGCCATACTCATACTTCGGCTGAAGAGTACTAAGAGTTGGTTTAATCCAGCCAACCATTCTTCAGCCATACCCATACTTCGGCTGAAGAGTACCAAGAGTTGGTTTATTCCAGCCAACCACTCTTCAGCCATACTCATACTTCGGCTGAGGAGTACAAAGAGTTGGTTTATTTCAGCCAACCACTCTTCAGCTGTACCTTTACTTCGGCTGAAGAGTACTAAGAGTTGGTTTATTCTAGCTACCCACTCTTCAGCCATACTCATACTTCGGCTGAGGAGTACAAAGAGTTGGTTTATTCCAGCCAACTACTTTTCAGCCATACCCTTACTTCGGCTGAAGAGTACTAAGAGTTGGTTTATTCCAGCCAACCACTCTTCAGCCATACCCTTACTTCGGCTAAAGAGTACTAAGAGTTGGTTTATTCCAGCCAACCACTCTTCAGCCATACTAAGAGTTGGTTTATTCCAGCCAACTATTCTTCAGCCATCCCCATACTTCGGCTGAAGAGTACTAAGAGTTGGTTTATTCCAGCCAACCTCTAAGTTTTTTCCGGCTAACTTAGAACATTGTTTGGTTATTCCGACCAAACGTCCTGCAGCCTGGATCCTTATCCTGGGCTTAGGAAGGGTGTTGGTTTATTCCAGCCAACCTCTAAGTTAGTTTTTTTCCAGCTAACTTAGAACAAAAGGTTTGCAATATTCCTATCTTTACTAAAACTAACTTTTACAAAGATCAACTCATGCTGAAAAAGAATTGGTGGTCTTATTGAGAAAAAAGAAGAAATTACATGTTTGAAAGAAAAAAAAGCTAAAAATAAAACAACTTGAGATTGGCCGTGTTCCATGGCCTAGGGATTGCTTTGCCGTCATTGTCTTCTAGGTGGTATGCCCCTTTGCCTGCTAATCCAACCACTTTGTAAGGACCTTCCCAGTTTGGCCCTAACTTGCC